CCAGGCTGCAACGTTTTGGTAACTTTGCTAAATAGGTGTGACCAACTTCAGACTTGTAGTGAAGCCTTCATGCAGGCAAAGGGTTCGGGAGAGAAGCCTCAGCCTCACCGAGCAGCTGCCGCGGATCAAAGCACGCTTACAAGGCCAGCAGCCCAGCCCAGCCCAAAGCACCAGCCCCACTGTAGGAGGAGGAGACAAATCTGGGCTGACTAAACCAATGACCACGTTTGAGCAGAAGGCTTCTAAATCTCATTTATATGTGGAACAGCTAAAGAAATACACATTTGGGCTGATTACTGAGAAAATGAATTTATTTACCGAACTGTAAGAGCAAGTTTCACTATAATTTATCCTCACAATTTTATTTCTCTTAGAATATGTACATGTTCCCGATTTAGTGTCTAGTAGGTCTTACTTTTCTAGGGTTTATTTATCTTGATATCATTTACAGGCTTATTTCTCAGGATTTAGAGAATAAAGGAACTTCAAAAAAAAAAAAAAAAACCACACACACACATCCGAAGGACCATTTGCAGCAGCTTTATTCCAGCCTCTTACAGGCTGCCCGCACAAATTTTCAGGACTAATTGTAATAACTGATAGAGCTCGTAAAGAGAAACTTTGACCCAGCGCTCCCATGACTCGTAACCACAGGCCGTAGCCCAATTCATCTGGAGGCCATGAAGCTGACTGCTCAGCTCAAGCTAATGACTTCAACTGAAGGCTGTTTCAGGCAGTACAAAGGAGCTGGAGTAAGTTCCAGATTAATGACTGCAAGGGAAGTGCCTGGCTGTAGCACACAACCATTTGGCTGAATTCCCACCTCTCTGGGCAATCAAGTACTCGAGATAGCTGCCAATAATTAAAAGACAGGATATAATAGAAAAATAAAAAATAACAGAAACAAATAGTAAACAATAAATAGTGAAATAGTGCATGTTTTAAATGGAGAAAGAGCAGGGGTCAATAATAACTCCTAATGGAATTTATTCCATAAGGCATCCTCCATCAACCTGAGTCCAGCAAGGAAGCAAGAGTAAATTGAGTCACTTTAATTTTTATTTCTTATTTTAGAGCCAGTTTGATCTAGTGGTGAAGGGCCCCAGGCTAGAAACCAGGAGACAGTGAGTTCTAGTCCTGCCTTAGGCATGAAAGCCGGCTGGGGGGGACTTTGGGCCAGTCCCTCTCTCTCAGCCCATTTTACCTCACAGGGTTGTTGTGGTGGGGAAAATAGGAGAAACAAGGGGTATTAGGTATGTTTGCCGCCTTGAGTTATTTATAAAAAATAAATAAAGGTGAGATTAAAAAATCTTTTTAAAAAAAACCACAGTCCATGGGCATCTTACCAAAAGCAAAATATAATTCTCTGCCTAGTACACATGCTCACACAAAGTGTTTGATTTTTGCATTTGGCAAAGCTCAACAAACACCTCAACGCTGTTGTTGTATTTAGCTATTTGAAAGCTCAACATTATCGCAATAGAAAATATCTGCTAATGCACACACTAAATACACAGTGACAATAAGGGCACATTACAACCCACTGACTCTCCATAGCAAAGTAGTTAATGTACCTACTGGCCAGCAACCACTTACTGTTGTCCAAAACGGCGCTCAACTAATTCAACTACGTACCCAAGCCCAGGGTACAGACTTGCCCTGTTATCTGGAAACAGTTTGATCCTGTTGAACCCAAGGAAGTAGACAGGGTCCTCCGAACAGTCAAGGTCACCACTTGCCATCTAGATCCATGTCCCTCCTGGCTGGTTAAGGCTACTCAGGAGGTGACATATGGGTGGGTACAGGCGATGGTGAATTCATCCTTGAGGGAGGGAGGGTGGGTTTCCAGCTGTGTTTAAAGAGGCACCAGTGCTTCCCCTCCTCAAGAAGCCATCACTGGACCCCACCATACTGGACATTGTTTACCCAGTTTCCCACCTCCCCTTTTTAGGGAAGGTGGTTGAGGTGGTGGTGGCATTGCAGCTCCACAGGATTCTGGAGGAAACAGATTATCTGGACCCCTTCCAGTCAAGTTTCAGGCCTGGATTTGGGACGGAAATGGCATTGGTCACACTCATGGATGATCTCTGGCAGGAGCAGGATGGAGGTAGTGCAACCATCCTTGCTCTTCTTCACCTCTCAGCAGCTTTCAATACCACTGACCATATCGGTATCGGTGTTGATTGGGAGCAAGAGATCCAGCCCACAGGCCCTCCATTGTGGGGTGTCGCAGGGTTTGGTACTCTCTCCACTCCTTTTTAACATCTCCATGAAACCACTGGGTGAGATCATCTGCCACCATGGGATGAACTATCATCAATATGCAGATGATACCCAGTTATACATCTCCATCCCGGGTGACTTGAGTGATGCTGTGTCCACCCTTTCACGGTGCCTGGAAGCTGTGGGAGTCTGGATGGGGAACAACAGGCTTCAGTTGAACCCTGGTAAGATGGAGTGACTGTGGATTAGAGGCCCCCCTGTATCCAAGAACTTACCATCTTTGGTTTTGGACAGGATCGCACTGCCCCAAACAGAACCAGTACATAATCTGGGGGTCCTCCTAGACTCACAACTACTGCTCAAAGAGCAGGTGACAGTTGTGGCCAGGAGGGCCTTTGCCCACCTTCAGGTGGTGCACCAGTTACACCCCTTCTTGCATCAGGAGGCTCTCCGGTCAGTCACTCATGCCCTGGTCATCTCTCGGTTAGACTACTGCAATGCGCTCTACATGGGGCTACTCTTGAAGAGTACCCAGAAGCTACAGCTGGTTCAAAATGTGGGAGCTGCATTGGGTGCCAATTTGCTTCTGGGTCCAATTCAAGGTGTTGGTTATTACCTTTAAAGCCCTACATGGCATGGGTCCAGGTTGCCTGAGGGACTGTCTCATCCCCATCACATCAACCCGTCCCACCCGGACAGGCAGAGGGGGCATGCTGCGGATCACATCAGCAAGAGAATGTTGCCTGGTGGGGCCCAGGAGGAGAGCCTTCTCTGCCATTGCCCCCGCCCTTTGGAATATTCTCCCCCGAGAGATGCAGTGGGCCCCTACCCTCCCAGCTTTCCGAAAAGGTTTAAAGACCTGGTTCTGTCAGTGTGCACGGGGTGATATGGGCTCTACCAGCCCCTGGGGGTGGTTAGCCCCCTGATGATGCTCCCTGGAATTACTTATCAATTTTCTATCTTCTTGGAACTTACTTATTTTTAGGATTGTTTTTATGTTGTATTTTAATGACTTTTTCTCTTGTTGTAAACCGCCCAGAGTCATTTTATGAGATGGGCAATGACAAATTTGATAAATAAATAAAATAATTACTTCATCCCCACTTCCTTTTTCCTTCAATTAGCTCCAGCCAACGGCAGCAGAAATCAATCCTGAACATGCTTGTTTGATCAGCAGATGCATTCTCCAAGTCTCCACACAGGAGGATATTTAAAAAAACAAGCCAGTCATAGGACATCAGAACAACTGGGTTTCAGCATGGATCAAACCTCTGCAATAGAGGACATTTTGTGCTGAACTCAGAATATTCAGAATGGTGAATGTAGGCTCCAAATGTTTTAAGTGCTGAACATTTTGCACACTCCTGCAAGTCTGAAATCCCAGATCACAAGATAACAAAACAGTTTCCAAGATGAGCTCTCCTTTCACAGCACCTCATATTCTCCAATTTGCCTGTTGGAGATTTGAGAGAAAATTTATTTTATTTTTATTTATTTTATTTATTAAATTTATATGCCACCTATCTCTGGGGAAGATGGGCAGCACATTAAATAAATAAATAAATCTCCCCCAAATTAAAGATTCTGTTGTCTGGTATAAACACACACTTGCTGTTGGAGGGAGATATTAGGCATGATGTGTTCTCTGCAAGCACTCTTCCCCAACTATGCAGAGAGACAACAATCCATTTACCAATAAAGAATCTCATTGATCCATCTATTTCTTTCCATCCATGCAGTGTGAGTCGGTGAGATTTCAAACAGAAGTTCCCCTTCCAAGCTACAGAGCATTGGTATCTTCCACATATATAAGAAATTCTAGGAGCTGATGTGCTCCCAGCTTAGCTGGAACGTGCCAGCTGGGAACAGCAGCAGTACACCAGTCAGAATTAGATAAAAATTTGCATTGATTATGTTATTCTCTTAAACGCTACTGGTGATATTTGATTAGAATTATTTGGTTGACTCTATGGATCGGAAAGGCAGAATTAAAAAAAAAAAAAAGATGCCTCTGAACTGCGGGGGTGGGGAAATTCAAAGTAAAATGAGATTGCTCACTGGAAGTATTCACAATGAAGCTGAAGCTTAAATATTTTGGACCCAAAACAGGAAGAGTCATTGGAACAGACTTAGGTGCTTGGAAAAATCAAAAGCGACTGAAAAAGAGGCTGACTGAAGGCAGGTAGACGCTATCCCTGAGGATGAGAGCAAGAGCTGATAAGAGCTCAGAAAAGCAGGCCCCAAGAGTCAGTTCTGGGGAAATAACATTCATCCAGTCACAGAGTCAGAAGCAACTCAACAACAGAGCAAGAACAACAGTGGATCTGGCAGGTATAATCTGAACAAGCAAGGTGTGAAATAACCTCTGCTTCTCTTATGGATTGAAATTCAAGAAGAGCAGCCCAATTCTACGCTGCATGAATGAGCTTCAGTTGGGACAAAACAGTGTCTCCTGCTTCGCTACCGGGATTTCGCCAGCGCTGCCTTCAAAAAGAAACCCCTTCCACCATCTCCGGATGTAAAAGAGAATTATGACAAGTTTTAAAAGAGGGAATGAGGTGAGAAAGCTAAAGCTTAACTTCCCCGTTAGGCTGAAGAGTTCTTTTTAATTATATCCATTAAAACATTATTAGGTTTAAAAAGAGAGAGAGAGAACTGGGTATAAGAGAGTGTTATGCAGATTTTACTTCTCAAAATTAATGTCGCTGCAATGGTTTTTCTTCCCAGAAATCTCTAGTAGTTACAGCAAACTGTCCTTGGGGGGAAAAAATGAACACCCAAGGCCTTTCCAAAATATTTTGCTTAAACGAGTAATTAGCTACACAGTGGATGAAGGAGGATGATATCTAAATCCGTTTCATACATATGTTCACAAACAAAATGAGATTAACATAAACATTTTGTCCAGCTTACATTTAGAATTTTGAAAACTAAATCATACGTGTATCATGCATCGGCCTGGTCACCATTAATTGTGTGACTTCTAGAAGAGTGTTTGTGCACCCGCTGCTTTGTCTGCCAATGGAAAAACTGGAGCTTTCCAAAATCCTGATTTAGGAACCAAACTGAGTTTACACAAAAAGGAACAATGATTCATTGAAAAAGAAACTTCTGCCTCAAGACAAAGAAAAAGGGAAAGAATAAAGGGAAGAACTGCCAAAGTTGTGTACTGGTGCTACCAGACAAATAATTGCAAAGAAATATGTAGGAAATAAAGTCAAGGTAGAAATTGCCCATTGATTCTCAGAAATAAGTTTGGTTTCCACAATTACACCTAAATCACTACCATGCATGTCTGATTATTATTAGATTATATTACACAGAGGGATTGTGCTAAAAGTATTATTAATATGGCCTTCCATAAGGTTGCCCCATACACAAATATCACATTCTTCTGACCAAAGTGATGTTTCCAAGGTTTTTTTTTCATTTGTAGGTTCATTCAAAATAAAAACACACAATAGTAAACACCATCAACAATAATTGGCGTTTTCTAATCTCACACTCTTAGAAAACGAGTGACTCTCCAAGTAGACGCAATGAGACACATATGTGGAAAAAAACTGTCATCAAAGGAAAGTGGAATTTATTTGTGGAAGTCCACATGCCATGGTCACAAACCCAAATTCCAGGTTCAAGTTAGACAAGTTTGCAGAACTATGTGTGTTAATCCTTATTGACTCCAACTTCAGAGTTTCATGACGAAACTGAAGTGTTCCATAGAGCTGGAAAAAAGCGGAATGGTCTCCATGGGATGGACAATGGCATGGGTGAGGAGCAGGTAAGGATAACACACAAGTGGTCATCCATAGGCCACTCTGGGCCAGCCAATGTCTGTCAGCCCAGCCCACCTCACAGGATTGATGCTGAAGGAGAAACTTTGGAGAAGCAAGTTTCAAGCATGCCACTTTGTGTTCCTAAAGCAGGTAGCCTGTGGCTCCTAAGCTCCTTCAATGGGGCTCACGAAGCCTACTCTGACCTCTACTGCTGAAAACTGACAGCCAGAAAACTTATTAAAATGGTAATGCAAGCGTTAGTTATGGCCCCCGGCTGACCCATAGGAGCCTACTCCATCTTAGAGAAAAGACAGAAGATAAACGTAAATAACATCCCTCCTCCCATATGCTAGTGGGAGCCACTAACATAACACCAACATACTTCTCACTTTGCATAGTCCTGGAACGCAATACATTTTGCTGCTCCAATCCAGACTTACTAAACTGACCTTCCCAAACTGGCGACCTCCATACTAATAGCAAGGCCCGTGGTGACTGGGAATTCTGCAAGTTGCTGGGACTGTAACTCCCAGAATTTCCAGGCCCCAGAGTTTCTGGTCCCAAGGCATCAAGCTGGTTATAGGCTGGGGAAAGCTGGTCCAGAGTCTGCCCTGGCGAAGTCCATGCTAGCATTCTGCGCTATTCGCTGCTACAGAGCTTAGAGCAACCACAGAGCCCAGTTCAAAGAAGGCTCTTGGATGCTGAGGCCAACCAAAACAGCTGCCTCCACTCAAGCCCCTGAGCTTCCTCGCGTTCTTGAGTTTGGCCTTAATGGGTTCTGTAAATCCAGCTACTGTGGCATGTAAGCCATGACGGATGGTGCGGCGGTGCCTTACAGTATTCAACAATGCGTGGTGAAACAAGCCATGCTTTAGTGTGACTCAGGTCATTTGTGGCAGGCTCACTGCCAAATTCCCTGCCGGGGAGATCTATAGTCACCTCTCTGTGATCTCTCAGAGACAATGAGGTAACACGCTTTTAATAAGGAGAAATGTGTCCCCTTCATAAGGAAAATCCCAGCCTCAGCCTACCACATTATCAGACAGAGCTAATCCTCACCTTGCAAGCTCCTTAATTAAGTTTGCGATGCGCCTCTTGTCTTCAGGACATAAATCCTTTAAAGAAGCACTCTTCGTTCCTCCTTTGTCAGGGACCTAAAAATTAAAACCAGCATTTGCAAAAAGAACAGCATTAACATGGAAGAAATATTTCTGAATCTACAATAAAAGTATTTCAGGCACCAACAGCTGCATTTTCAACAGCATATTCAGCCCCACTTGAACGGACTAGTGAAGAAGACACAAGTTTTTTAAAACAACTGGTGAGATAATTTCCCAAATTTTGTGCTGGAAGAACCATCATTGGCTCATGCTTCTACAAATGAGCTTCATCAGGGGCTGGGGGGAGGGAAAAGAGCAGGGCTGCAACTTTTCAAGGGCCTCAGAAATGTGGGTTTGGACAGGGGGTGGAAAATGCAGTCCTATTTTTAACCTTTATGAATTTATAATCTATGGCTAATACATTTTTGCCAGAAGTAAGCAATTCCTATGTAAAACTTAATAAGATCTGAAGTATTAGAAGCCTTTTTAAAATGCAAATTACAACAGAAAAAGGGCAAAAGTACATTTTGGAAATGTAAAAAAAAAAAATGAATGATTCAAAATCCCCAAATGACTGTATTCTCAGAGAAGCTCTCGTATGCGGCATTTGATTCACTGTTGAAAACTGTGCAATTCACAACTCAGCATTCATCCCACAATTCTAGCTGCAAATTCCAAAACCCATTAGATTTAACTGTAACATTTTCTTGTCGCAACATCCCATTTGCTACCAGAGTGGGTCTTTCGGCCTCATGTGCCACCAAACTGCTAGAGCATCAAAAAGCCACAGCACCAATGATCTGATCACCCTCTTTCACTAAAAGAGCTGGTTTACTCTGCACTCTTGCACCACCAGAGGGCCCTTCGTTGTCCAGAAACTTTCTACATGCGTGCCAAGTATAAGACTTAACCATTCTCGGGAAACCAGATAGGTGTGTTAGAATACAAGATTGGCTCTTTAATTAAATCCTCCGTTTTGCTGGTAATAGCAAATGCCTCTCCTAAAGCAAATATTGCCAGCAGCTAGGCCACACAGCTAGAGAACCAAAACTATACCAATGAACTATTAATTATAGTGCAGGTGTTTATGACTGAACAACACCGAAAGGAATTCAGGGAGAATGGCTAACCCATGAATTAAACATTTGTTAGGAGAGAGATGGGGAACCTCCTGAGAAAGACCCACGTAATACGAATATAAATCAGTGTGTTTCAGTTATGCACACCACGAACACAGGCCACCCTGCATGATGTAACTGCATCACGGTTCTGATCTTAAAATCATGACAACAGGAGCTGTCAGAATCTGGATCATGGCCTGAAGGGAAACGCTATTCCCCAACAGGAACAAACAGGTACAGCTCAGAACGTGCTGCACTGCTGGAGGTCTCCATGCCCGGAGAACGTTTCGCTACCCTACCAAATAACATCATCAGTGCAAGAGCTTTGGGAAAGCAAAATGCTGATACGACTGCAGCTCCAAGACCAAGCTGAGAGGACTCCAGCAACGTGGCGTGCTCTCTTCCCTCTGCACCATGCTTTCCTGCCGAAAAACCATCCCTGCTGTCCTTAGCAGCGTTTTCTGTTGCACGAAGGAAATTCCTCTTGGAACTCGCAGAAGCTTCCTGGGAGATTTCCAGTGGAATCTTGGTTCAGGGGAAGGATTAAAACACCCCAAGCTGGGTCAGTCCCTATCCATGACAGATATTTTTAGAAGAAGATGTTGAAAGCCAATGAAAGCCATCAGCTACTCATCCCAAACAAGGGAGGCAAGAGAGCCAGACATGACACCTGTACCTGCCCAAACATGGATTAAAGGGGAGGGTGGGAAATAGCGGAGATAACCAGTGGGTTGCTGGACCAGCTAGGCCTTCTAAACCAAGATAGTCCTTACAGCCGAGGCAAAGCCATTTGGTTCTCTCTGCTATTCAGACACCTGTCCTTCTGGTAAAAGGTGAGATGAGTGGCTATACAAATTGACAGACAGACAGACAGATCTCAAGCCCTTGGTGTCCTAGTCTAGCCTACGCTTGCTACTTGCTCTTTCTGGCACAAGACCTCGGCTGGAGTATAATGGGTATTTTTTTTTTCATTTTGAGTGGGTCCTGGTTTCCATTTTTTCACATATTCATAGAGGTGTGATGGTTGTTAGCCACCCAGAGTTATATTGTACAAGGTGGGTGGCCATATAAATCTTATAAATAAACAAACACACTTGCCTAGAGTGCCGAGGAAGTTCCTTATCTAGCAACTCGTACTGTAAAAGGGACAGGGAACTGGCAGATGCAGGCCCAGGCTTCCTCCAGATTTTGGAAGAAGCATTCTTAACTGAGAGCAAAGGATATTCTTCCCTATCCCCAATACATCTCTTTTGTTTAAAGAAGCAGGGTTAAGTTTCCAAAAGATGGGATTCCATGTTTAGTAGCCACATTCTATCAGCTAAGGCAGGGTTTCTCAACCTCAGTAATTTTGATGGGTGGACTTCAACTCCCAGAATTCCCCAGCCAGCATGCTGGCT